ATCATGTCGCAGTGTACCTTCGCCTCCTCGGGTTTACCAAGGGTGGTCTTTGGTTTTGTGACGGGTTCTTCCTTCTAAAAAAAAAGGATTGTTGTGACGAGTTGTATCCACACGTGTACGTGAAACATTTCACGTTAAAAAAAAGAGTTTTGTCTAGTAAAAAATGTCTTTGTTCGTAGTACAATTTATGTGTAAAAGAACCAAGTGTAACGTGTTGTGTACCTTTGCTTCCTCGGGTTTCCCAAGGGTGGTCTTTGGTTTTGTGACGGGTTCTTCCTTCTAAAAAAAAGGGGATTTTGTGACGAGTCGCGTTGTGTGTGTAAAAAAAAGGATGTACTTTAAAAAAATCTTGCTTGTAAAAAAAAAGAACAAGCTCAACAAAGTTTCGTATACCTTTGCCTCTTGGGGTTTGCCGAGGGTGGTCTTGGGTTTCGTGGCGGGTTCCTCTTTCTAAAAATCAACAGTCTCGTGTATCGTAATTGTCGATAGCGGGTTATTGGAAACTATACAAAAAGGCTATGAATATTCTATTGTGAAATGGTGTGTGTTTTGTGTACCTTAGCCTCCTCGGGTTTACCGGGAGTGGGTTGTGGTTTCGCGGGTTCCGGTTTCTAGAAAATAATTCCTCGACGTAAGTTATTCGTAAGTTTTGTAATAAAATTATCGATCGGCGTAAAATGTCGAATGTATAGCGTATATGTATCATGTACCTTGGTATCTTCTACCTTCTGTGTGGGTTTAGGTGCCTCCTACAATTAATTTACCGTGTAAAATGAAGGTATTCTAACGCATTAATTTTAGTGTATCGAGTTCATTTATAAAAATGCACGTGTGAGAATTATGCGATATCGCTTGGGTACCTTTGTTTCCTCTTTTCCGACGGTCTTGGCTTTAACGCTGACTTCCTGCTTCTAGAAAAAACATGGAAACGATAAAATGTACTCGCGTTCCACTCCCAGGTTTACGTTAGTGCAACAAATGGATACGATTAATCACAGACACAGCAGTCGAATTTTATTTACAGTTTCCTCGCGCTAGAAAGCGAAGAATTCTAACAAAAGTATGTTTGTACTGCTCGAATACGATATTTGCGTGTCATGTGTACTTGTTGCCTCAAGAGGAATATCGTGTATACCTTAGTGTCGTTGGAAACAGTGTCCTGGTTAGAGGCTAACGTAGGCTCGTGGTCCTGGATAATATTCGCACGAATGAATAACATGTATAGCATATAAAAAATAAAACAGAAACGAACGGAAGTAGTGTAAAAAGCTCGTGAGACGTTACTAAGTATCGTGTTCTCTATTCCCTGTACCTTAGATCCCTCCGTCGATTTTGTCGATGATCTACGTCTCGTCGTCGGTTCTTTCTTCTAAAATTGCAAATGGAAAAAAAAAAGAGTTTTCGTAAAATACACCCCTGGCACGTCACAAAGACGTAAATAATCGAGAAAGACTGAGCGAAACTGTACCTTGCCCACATCGTCAATTTTGCGAGAGGTAAGTTTCGGTTTAGACGCCTCTTTCTAAAACGATCAAAGTAACGACGATTTTTATTAAAGCGTGACATGTTTGAGTGTTATGTGTTCGTGCAACGTGTAAGTACACGTGAAATTCCACGTGTGGCGGGTGTACCTTGTCCGTGTCGGATTTTCTACGAGTCGTTTTTAATTTCGGTTTAACCACCTCCTAAAAAATTACATTTCTCGGTTTAGTATCTGCGGTATGAACATTGGAACACGTTTGTTTCTCTACCTCTACTTTGTTGGTCGAATTAACTAGCGGCGATTCTGTTTTAGATTTCGGAGAATCAGTTTTGTCGCTCGAGTTGTTCATGTTTGGCTTCCAAGTATCCTAAAATGTTTGTAATATGAACAAAAAAAAAAAAAAATTAATACAAAAATACCTGATACGTGCCTTGGGTATCTGTACATCGAAGAGAAACTGTATCGACTCCAAAATCTGGGAATTTTATAGTTTTACGTTAATTAAATGACTGCGTATTTATCTTAAATTTCCAAACTTTGGGATCGATACAGTCTCCAAAGTACGGACGCATCTAAGTTTATCGCGTGAGTGTACCTCAGGTTCTTCGCGTAGTGTTTGCGATAATTCTACGGCATTCTTTTCCGGTACCTAAAATAATTAAATGTTCAAAACATTGCGTTCGAGAAGATTCGAAAGTTCGGTTCGAAATGTATCGCGTTACCTCCTTCCAAATAGATTTAATTTCGCGATCCCGTGGTCTATCCGACCAGATATCCTAAAAAAAAAAAAAAAAACGTTTACCCGATTATGTTTGTTATTCCGCGCAAGTCTACGACAGAGTGCAGTGTGCGTCGTATACCTCAACATCGTTATCTATTTTCTGCTCGAGTGGTTCGCGCTTGAGCTTCGGAATCTCCTGAAAATGTAAAGCATTAAAAAAAAATAATAAGTAAAAAGAAAGAAGCGCGTTTAACGTTTCAGTGTGCGTAGTTTATAAGCCTACCTCGTCCTTACTAATACGAATAGATCTAATTTCGTAATCCTGCGGCCTATCTGCCCAGATATCCTAAAATGTTCTCACAGTTAAGACCCGTACGAAATTTATTTGACACAATAATAGGAAGATTTAAATGTTTAATGCGACGATGTGCTACCTCGATCTCGTCGTCTACTTTGTTCGCGGATGTTGAATGTTGGTTTGTGAGTGTTGGTTTAGGTGCGTGTGCTGTCTCCTGAAATGATGCCACGTTTGAAAAACGTTGTTATCAAAAATTAAATTTCTCTTTTAACGTTTCAATAAAATATCTCGTTTACGTTTTGGGCCTCGGGCTTTTTAGTTGGAGAAATTTTGTCGTCCCTCGGTTTGGCAGCCAAAGTGTGCTAAAATTTAGGACGCAGTTCGGTATAAATTTTGACAAAAGTATCGTGGAACCGTATTCGAAAATTGTAAAAGTGTACCTCCACGTCTGCGCTTGATTTACGTGAGCCTGACCTAAGCGTGAGTTTCGCGTTATCCTGAAACGTAAATGCGTGTGACAAATCATTGTTTACGGTACGTCAGCGTGTATTTGTTACTAAAAAAAATTAACTACCTCTTCGTCACGGGGTTTGTTCGACTTTACAACAGGTTTTAACGCATCCTAAAACATGTCAAGCGATTAAAAAAAAGTGCTCCGCTTCATCGCGTCTATCGATCATTATTAAATCACGTGCAATCAATTTTGTACCTTAACTTTTTGTATGGATTCTATTTCGCGATCCTTTGACCTATTTGCCCAAATGTCCTAAAATTTTGTTTGTCCTTTAATATCGAATTTCAGCGTGACACCGTGCGTTCAAAAAATAATACAAAAATAAAATAATTAGCTACCTCGATCCCATTGCGTGATTTATCGATAATTGACTTAGGAATGGGCTTTAACGATTCCTAAAATATGTTATGGCGATTAAAAACATGCCCCACCATGTATAAGTATTGCATGCAAATGAATATTTGTTGTACTGTGTAACGTGCAATATATATATATATATATATCGGTTCTTTGTACCTTGACTTTTTTTATACATTCAATTTCGCGTTCCTTCGGTTTATCTGCCCAAATATCCTAAAATTATTTCACTCTTCAATATCGACATCTCGAGCGACGTCGAGCGTTAGAAAAATAATTGAAAAGAAAAAAGGATTAGCTACCTCGATATCATCGCTTGGTTTCCTACTATGCAGTTTCCCATTAGGTTGCGACGCTACCTAAAATACCTCGCGTGATTAAAAACATATCCTACTTCGCTACGTGTAATTTTCGTTAATTTCTTTTCTGCTGTATCACAGACGAGTTATTAACATCATTTGTAAACATCATTTATAAATTCAGTACCTCTTTCAATCTAACGGGTTTTATCTCTGGCTCTCTTGGCATCGACGCCCAAATATCCTACAAGTATCAATCACTGTGAGTATAAATCTCTATATTTGCACCATTAGCGATAATATTAGGTCGGGTTTCTTTCAACGAATCGTTTACCTCGATTTCATCGTCTGGCTCGGACGTGTCTTGCCTAACGTTCTCGTTGCTCGAAGTCTACAATAATATTAACGGTGTGAAAACGTATTTTAATCATCGATATGTTTAGAACGAAATTCAACAGAATCCTTTTCCCATGACTTCCCTTAACTTGACATAAATCGTGTCGATACTTAAGTTTGTAAAAAAAAAGGTCTCTTTATACGGGACACCGTGTATAATTTTGGTAGCGTTTTATCTACCTTGATCTTGTGCGACGATCTTCGTCTAAACGTGTGATACGTGGAATACAGTTCATCCTGAAAGGATGCGATACGTTTTATTTTTTATTTTATTTTTCTTTTTTTTTTCTTTTTAACGAGTAACGTAAATTGTTTGCAACGACTGCATATAGCGTGTTTCGTGTACCTTTGTGTCTTGCGCGGGTGTAATAGCGAAGCCAGCCGGGAACTTTATAACCGCCTAAAAATGTAACATAATAAAAAAGAAAGAAATCGTTTGGTTCTTTCCTCGAAAAATGATATTCCTCTGTGCCCTACTGTTCCTTTGATCTTCGCGATACTATTCGTACTTTCGATTCTTCGATTGCACTTTTTACACTCATACAAAAGACAAAAACAAGTGTTTAGTACTACATACTACCAGCCTTCTATGTCATTTTCTAGAAGGTCGAACACAACACATTGTACTTACTTTTTCGGTATGAAAATAATTGTAAATTTTTCATTTCGCAACCAAAGAACTACTGTTAGCACACATATTACTGACGACTCGACCGTCTTAATTACGAGGCGTCGGAATAATCAAATTTACGAGGACGACACGAGGAAGCTCGACAAAAACAATTATAAAGAGTTCAATACGAATCAAAGTGTGCCTTCTTACCTTCTCGGCTGTCACCTTCTTCTTCTCGACGATCGAAGATCGCCGACTTTCCGACTTCACTTCCTCCTCGGTCTGTATTCAGGTAAACAAACAATTACTGTATTAATACAACATCAGCGGTTGGAGCATTGTAAACGTTTCGTTTGCGCCAATTCTGTATTACTTTATGTTCAATCAGCGAGTGTTCGTGTACCTTTTGTATCGAAACGCGTCGTGGTGTAGTGTAGCCATCTTCGCTTATCATCTACGTGTATTAAAAAAAGAGACGAATAAACATTTGGATTCTTGGAGAGTCAAGCGTCTTAGAGCTAATTTGTGAAGTCTTCAACTACATTTTTATCGAACCTAGAAGGACTTCTTTTTTATATTATTTACACATTTCGAAGTCAAATTCAGAAGAAGTCGTCCTACGTTTGAAAGAAGTAAACGTGGAACTTGTCTTAACCTTTTCCTCGGTTGACACCAGAGAACTCCTTCGGCTTTCCGTTCGCAGTTCCTCGACCTAAACATTAAGTAAAAATACCAAATCAGTATCACGTTCTTTTTTTCAGCAATTTACAAAGGATTCTCGTGACGGGAAACTTACTCTGCTGATAGACTGCTTGCGAGACACGGTCTTCTCCGCTTTTAACGAGGCCTCCTGAAATGAAATGACAGAGATCGTACCGATGCATGAGTAAATATTTAAACGAATATAGTTTGAGTAAAAGTTTGTCTTTACCTCTTTCTTTTCTTCCTTCTTCTGCACCACCTTTTTCTGCAAACATAAATTTCATTTGCATATTTTAGTTACTTGGAACGCATGTTTCGAATTTGTGAAAACGCAAACGATTACCTTTTCTGCTTCCTTCTTTTCCTCGATCTTCTCTTCTGGTTTTTTCTATATTTAAGCAGAAGTACAACGATATTAATATCTTAGGTTCGTCCATTAATCGTACTTCTTACCTTCGCTTGCATCGTGTAAACATTTAAGCCACGTCTAACGCGACATTACAAATAAGCTAATACGCATGCAAATATTCTTATAGACACCAAGGACGAAAACAGAATAGCTCATACGAAGCACGCAGGCAATATAGAGAAAATAGAGGAAAATAGAGGAAGTTTTTAAGGAAAGATTTATAGCCCAGCTTCTAAGGAAAGGACAGTGAGAATTCTCTAAAAGCGAATATTATGTTGCGTGTTGATAAAGTAGCAATGCGTGTAATGTTTGAAAGCTGAAAGGGAAAGAGAGCGATAAGAATGCCTAGACGCAAACCATGATGCAAATAAAAATCGCTGAAATCAAAAGCGCGATTCGTTAGTAAGAGCTGCGCGTTAGTAAAGCTGAAAAAGAGAGAAGAGTTCGTTTAGCAAAAGCCGAGAATAGCGTTTCGCATACCAGCCACGCATTATCCCACCGCACTGTAACCGCGTTAAATAAATCTGTCGAAGGACAGTAAGGCGTTCGCATAAAGCTCATATCTATTAATTGTTCGCAATGCAGTCGAAAGACCGCTCTAATAACTCGAGCGTATACCACGCCAAATCTGAGTGTTCGATACCAGTCACTCACCTGAATAACTTCCAATTTCTGAAACAGAAAAGCGAACGTAAATTAATATCAGATATCGTTCGTTGCCAGGAAATGAAATAAATAATTGCTTTGCGTCGTTAACACAGACAAGCACACAAAGTCTAAACGAAAAAAGGGACATCGCAAGGGAACACGAAAAGGGTACACAAAGTGACGATTCTTTCCAAATCTATACAGTGTAAAGTGAATCTCTTCTCGATCGTTATGGAAAAATAATCTTTAACGAGATCACTCGTTTTCGAAAATAAAAACAACAAAAAAATGTTTCGTACCTTCTTGCGGCCAGGTTTGTCGATACCGTTCTGTTTGTTGTCGGGTATGTCCTTGAAAATAATGAAAAAAAAAAACCTTGATAGATTACCGACGCTTACGAAAAATAATTGTCCATGGAAAAAGAAAGTATAGAAAAAGATCGACAGGCATCTCCGAAGAGAGTTGAAAAGAAGACGAAAAATGTCGAGAGAAAAATATGATCGAGAATATACGTGTCCGTGTAAATATGTGATGCGTGTGTACGTGTACCTCTATTTGCGAAAGTGTTTCCGAGTCTGGTTCCTCGATAATCGGCTCCGCGACGCTGGTTTCGATTACACTCACCACATCCTCCTCCTCTTCTTCGTCTTCGACGACGCTCTCATCGTATTCGTCGTCCTCGTCGTCGCTCCAGACAGAGCTAATTACCTTTTGTATCGCAATATCGAAATGCATTTCAAGAGAGCCGAATTATCAGTAACCGAAACCGAAAGTTAATTTATTTTACGACAAAAAAAAATTGAACTTTCGTTCGTGTGATCTTGTTTCGAGTGTAGATGTAAGGGATGATTGTAACAAATTGTTAGTCAAGGGATAATTTAAACACTAGGGAGAGTGGCCGCAACGAGTAAGTAGAATAAGCCTTTCGATAGCAGACTTTGGGCGATGATGACGGTAGTCTTACCTTCTCCTCTTTCTTTTCTTCCTTCTTTTCTTCCTTCTTTTCTACCTTCTTTTCTTCTTTCTTTTCCTCTTTCTTTTCCTCTTTCTTTTCCTCCTTCTTTTCTACCTTCTTTTCTTCCTTCTTTTCTTCCTTCTTTTCCTCCTCTTCTTCCTCCTTCTTCTACAATACGCACAAGGAATTGCATGCAACATTCAAGGAAGACAACCGTTCGTGGCAAACATGAATTTCGTTTAACAGTCGAGGTTTTAATTCACGAAATGACATATCAACAATATTTTAGAGGGAGGGGGTCGATTCTTTAAAGTTTCAACACGGAATAGTTCGTAACGTTGAAGGGCATAACATGAAGAGTGATATGAAATTTCATATTCAAAAGTTCCTCGAATTTCTTACCTTGACCACTATACGAGCGGACGATTCGTCTTGACCGAACTCATTGCTGACGACAACCTTGTAGGTTCCAGAGAACGAGGTGGTAGCGGATGTGATGATGAATTTCATGTCCGTACCGTTGAAGGATATCATGATGTCCTTGTTGGACTTGATTACCGTCGAGTCTCTGCGGAAATAAAAGGATTGATCGGTTTAAACAAAAGCAGAGTAAAGCGTAGCAGCGTTGACGACACGCATCGATCGATCGACTCACTTGTACCACTGGATGGTCACTTTGCGATCCTGCTTCGCGAGGCTAGCGACGAGTTCGATCGTTTTGCCTTCCTCGATCGTCTAAAACCCCGTGAATATATCGCTTTGAGATAGGTTTACAAGTTCCGAGGATTATTTGCGAAATTACGTTAGATCGAACAACTCACCACAGACTTCAGACCGGACGCGATCTTCGGCTTATCGCCTTCCTCCATGATATCCGTAACCTCCACCACCTGGGAGGTCGCTTCTCCTTTCTCGTTGCGAGCTACCAACTTGTAGATACCCTTGTCGGTCGCCGACACTTGCTCGATCTCTAATTTCACCGCGAATTCTCCCTAAAAAAAGAATCAAATTTCGAATGTTTCCTTTCGGAGATTTTACTAACAAAAATTTTGTTAAATCGCAAAACGTGTTGTCACGGACCTCTTTCACTTGTTCCACGTGCACCTTGTGCCTGGTATCCTGCTTGACGGCTTGCGTTTCTTTGAACCAAGTACAATCCGGTGTGAACTTGGAGAGCACGTGACACTCGACTATGACCGTTCTCTTCTTCACGATCTTCACAACCTTTGGCTTCTCCTTGATTACAGGTATAACTGAAATCGTAGATCAGAGATACGTGAATCAACGGCGAAAGTACTCATACATATAAATCCTATTCTTTTTGCGATACTCTCAAAATTAATTATCAAAGTTAGGCCTTTATTTCAGCCTCTAGAGTTACCCCTTAATAAACGTTAAGATTTAATTGTTCGTTTTATAAACCCTGCCTTAAGAATATTTTGAAAACATATTATCGATACTCTCGATTTAATAATCGACTCACTTTCAACGTTGAGCGTGAGGTTGGCGTTCAGTTCGCCGAGGGCGTTCTTGATGTTGCACTTGTACAAGCCGGAATCCTCCGGACTGGGATCGTTCAATGTCAATTTAATGTAATAAATATCGTCCTTCTCTTGAATAATACTGATCGAGATTTTCGAAGACTCCTTCACCACCTGGCCGGCGTGGGTCCACACGATCTCGGGCTTCGGGTTCGCTTTTACTTTGCAGTCCATTATCACCAGTTTGCCCTGATTCTGGGACTGTATGCGTGGCTTCTCGACGAAGGTCGGACCGTCGCCTTCCGGTTCCGGTTCGGCCTCTATGTTCAGGTTCAGATTGGCGTTGCTTTCGCCGTATTCGTTCTTCACGTGGCACCTGTAAGTGCCGCCGTCAGGCGCCGAAGGATCCTGCAACGTTTTAATCAACGATTATTATCTTCACCAATGCAGAACTGGAGTTGTTGATACGAGTACTACATGACATCAAACAACGAATGTTACAACAGGACTAGGAAAGAAACTCCTCCTGTCTCGCATTCTCTCTATAAGAGCTTCATACTCTGAATGTATTCACAACTAAAGTATAAATAAATAATCAGGTGGACTTGAATAGGTGGCGTGGAAGAGTGAATGTAATATGCGAGCGAGAGGAATATAAAAACGTGATTTGTGTTAGAAATAAGGTACAAGATAAGTGGTGCGGGTGTTTGTACGTAGGAGAAAAGTGTTAAGAGTAAGAGGAGTTGAGGGAGGGGGGCCGGGATAAAGGATAAGAGTGGTACAGGGGAGAAGTTTGAATAAATAATCAGCTCTGAAGACGAACGAAAAGTTGTTTCATTCCTACTTCTGTAATTTGCGAACGCGTACCTTGATTTCCATAATTAATTCGTAAACGTCCTCCTCGACGGTCTTCGTCTTGATAGAGATCTTGGAAGACTCCTTGACGACGTTGGTCCCGCGGAACCACGTGACCTCCGGCTTCGGGTTCGCCTTGCATTTGCACTTCATC